GAGAGAAGGCAACAGAGCCAAGGGTCTTGTGTCCTCTCCCCTGGACAATAGAGGCACTTGAGAGACCAGAGAGCAGAGCCTGCACACTGTCATTGTTACAACCAAGTAATCTTAAGGCTGCTGGGTTTGGGTTTATATATTGGTTAGTTCTTGCCCTAGTTAGCTTTAATTGTCCACTTGAGGCAGCCTCCAGCTATCTGAGAAGAAAGCCTCAACTAAGGGCTTGCCCAGATCAGCCAGCCTGTGGGCATGTCTTTGATTGTTAATTGGTGTGGGAGGGCCCAGCACACTGTGGACGTCACCATCACTTGGACAGGTGATCCTGGATTATATAAGAATGCTCAGTAAACGTGGAAAGCAAAGTTCCTCCATAGTTTCTGTTACAAATTTCAATTTGAGTTCCTGCTCTGACTTCCCTCCGTGGTGAACTGGGGCTTGAAAGTATAAGTCAAAGTCAAATTCACCCTTCCCTCTAAGTTGCTTTTGGTCAGAGTGTTACACTAACAGAAAGGAAATGGTAACAGTTGTAGCGCATGCTGACCTCTAACCTGAGATCCCCTTCCCTGTCTTCCAAGAACTGGGATTACAAACCCATGCCATACCGGACTTAGATCTGGTGTTTCTGTTCAGCCACAGAAATCCACAGCACGGCTGTGGGAATGTCTGACTTCACAAAACACACCCCTGCCTAGAGTGGATTGATACAGACAAACTGATTAGAAATGACCTAACTCGTGATTCTCAGAATATGGGCCACAGCCCCTTGGTGTTAGTATTGTTTGGGAAATCTGCTAGAAATGCAAGTGTCTGGCCCAGCCTTCTGAGGAAACAGTGTGTCTAGAGTTCTGTGTAGCAACAAGCCCTCTATGTGATTCTAATATTGGAAAATTTGGCAACTACTAAGCTCTTTAAAATTAGGATGGGTTCCTAATTGTAACAGCTTCGGTAGCCTCAGCTGTCCACTTGGACCTGGGCAGGCCATAGAGAGGCTCATGTGTCATCAAAGCACTCCTCAGTAGTGAGAAACCAGGTGTACAAAGCAGAGGAGGCATGCAGAGGGCTAAGAGGGCAGCTCATACACAGACAATGAGGGTGTAAACAGACTGTAGAAAAAGGGGACAGAAAAGTAGCTCTGTTAGTTCCTTGTCTTATACCATGAAACAAGCTTCTGCCTCCCGAGAGCTTGTGCAATTTAGCTGGCAGCCAACTCCTGCCAGATAGGCAAGGGTGGGAGATAGTCATGAGTATGGAGAGGTGGCTCAGTGGTTAAGAGCACTGGCTGTTCTTGCAGAGGATAGGGGTTCAGTTCCTAGAACCAACACAAAGGCTCACAACCTTCTGGAAGCCCAGTTCCAGTGGACCAGACATCCTCTTCTGGCCTCCAAGGATACAGAGGCCTCTTCTGGCCTTCTGTGGTGCACTTAACATACATGTAGGCAAAACATTCATACACATAAATATAAAAGTTAAATAAATCTTTAAACATGTATGGGAAGTTACACTGGAGAGTCTGTGATAGCAAGTCCTGTGGCCTCCTACTGTCATGTGTGTGGCAATCTGACTCGCACTTTAAGTGCACTGTCCTATGAGTGGGGACATTCTCAGGTCAAGAAAGGTGGCCCCAGAAATCACACGTGGCCAGAGCACATGTGTCAGTTCCAAGGCACGGGATGGCAGCAGCTGGCTCAGCAAGAACAAGCAGAGCCACAAGAGGTAACCTTTCACACGAGCACCTCAGGGGAAGAGAGCACCCAGAGTCAAGCTCACTTTACAGTTATGAAGAGGCCTTTCCAGAGACCTAGCAGTTGAACATGACTATAAGCCCAAAGGCTAAACTGCAGATGTCAAACCAGCCCAAGCTTGTCATGCCAAATGTCTCATCTGACCTGCCATCACTGTATCTCCAGCAAGCACCTCGGGTGCTCACAAGGTGGCTGAATTGGCTTGAGTGTAAGTCACGGCAGAGCACTTACCTACATGTACTGTGCCCCAGGTTTGGTTCCCCAGCAGTACAAAGTTTATTTCCACGGATCCTGTCACATCTCTATCCTTCCCTGTGCCCTCCACCCTCAGTAGCCTCCTTTCTGCTACTATGTCACATGATCCCTACTGTCGTCCCACCTTCCTCAACCCCTCTAACATACCCCTTTTCATAGCCAAAACCCACACTTACCCTCGCTTACGTAAAGGCATGAAAAGCTACAGGCCACCCCAAGACAGAACATGTGCTACTTACCTTTCTGAGTCTGGATCACTTCATATAATACAATTCTTTCAAGATCCAGCTACTTTTCTCCAAATTTTATTACTTCACTTTTCTCTAAAGTTGAGCAAAATTTGTTTGTGTAGCAAGGATTGTGTTTTTATGAAGCTGTGAACATCATCTTCTCAGGGAATAGAGGCTCCCACAACGGAGAATACAAAAGGATGGGTATTCCCCTGCCCTGTTCTCAGAGCAGTGCTCAGGGCAGCCACATGCTGTTGTTGGCATAGGGATACTACTTTCTGGTCATATACCAGAGCTCAAAGCAACTGGAGGACCCCTTCATTGTCCCTGCCAGCCACTCAACAGGCAAGGCCAGGCTAGAGGACCACTCTCTGTTTAGCTGAACATGGTGGCTTGATTTTCAGAAATTGAGGTGCCAAATTTTACTGTGTATTCATGTGGAATCTGCATTACAAGTTCCTTGTAACCAATACTAGTGAGTCATATATTATGGCATTATCTTTGGGGTTCCATTCATATCTGGCCCTCTGTAGGCTATGGAGAAGATATTCAATTAGTGTGGAGTAAACTAAATCATAGTGACTCTGAATAGTGGGTTCCTTGTGCTTTATGTCCCAGCTATTGTCATGTGTTGAGTGGTGTATGTGTGTGTGTGTGTGTGTGTGTGTGTGTGTGTGTGTGTGTGTGTCCATGTATATGTAATTGTATGTGCATGTATGCCTGTGTGCATGTGGAAAACAGAGTTAGATGTTAAGTGACTTCCCACTTTAATTTTTAGACAAGCCTGGGGCTTGTGGATTAGTCTGGGTTGACTGGCCAACAAGCTCCAAGGATTGTCTCATCTCTGCCTCCCTAATTCTGGAATTACAGGCAGCGAAGACCATATCTGGCTTTTACATGGGTGGATGGGATTGAGCTCGTCAGTTCTCATGCTTATACAGCAAACACCTCACCAACAGAGCCATTTCTCCAGCCCTGTCATGTACTAACTTGTATGAGGCCGAAGACATCTCTGAATCCCATGGCCACTGTACAGCCGACAGGCCCCTAATTCGTATGTTGTGGAGCCAGCCGTACAGTCACCTGGCTTATGCAGGGGTTATTAAAGATGCAATAAAGGAAGATGCAGATGGGGAGTGTGCTCTGATCCATACACTGTTTTTGTAGCACTGCACATGCTATTTCTCAGGATGGCTCAACTCCTACAACGTTTATGTTTTTGCTCTGCTTAGTTGATGGGGCTTCAGGAGACCCTGAGGCTTCTCATATATTAACAGTGTGACAAGGGTCTGGGATTTACAGTTGACAACAATGCTAGGCTTCCATGCAGTGAAGGAGTGGCCTTGAGCCTCTTCAGAGCTGAAGACTTTGTCTTATCCACTACGTCTGCTGTATCTGCTGGCTTGCAAACATCCTGCCATCCCCCCACTTCTCCCATTCAAGTTGTTGCCCCCACCTCCTCATCCCTTCCTCCAGCTTCCAGACATTTCCTGTTTTAAAATAATGTGCTGTCTCTGGAATGATGGCAAGTCAGCATCCAGGCAGTAGCAGCCTTCCCCAGAGTTCCCCTGAGAGGTCTCAGAGGGGAGTTGAGTGGGTGAGGAAAAGCACAGCTTCCCACCGCAACAGGAAGTGGAAGCAGATGAAACAGTAATTCTAACTCCAAGGAGGCCTTCAACTCCTCCCCTTCAATTAGAGAATACTGTCCTCAGATGCTTGGAGTCTCCTCAGGCCCCTGGCTGCTGTTGGTAACCTGTCTAACCAATGAGGATAGCACTACAGATTATGGTAGGGTGGAGACAGAGGTGGGGACCAGAGCCCTAGGGAGTGCTAGGTATTATTAAATTAGAGGGGACATGCACTTAGTAGAAGGTGAAGGAGAGTTCCTGGGCTAAAGGTTGAAAGGCGCCTGAACACCCACCTGCAAAATGAGCAGCCCTGGTGCTGAGACACAAAGGTTACAGGACAGGCTATGCATTCACCAGAAGTCACCTAAAGAAAATGTTCCGTGTGGGGTCCCAAAACTCCAAAAGTAAGTGTGAATGAGAGTAACAGGTCCCAAGGAAAGGATGGGATCATAGTAGTTCATCACCAAAGGGCCCTGGAAAGAACCTCAAGTCCGTTAACTGCTAGAGTGCCCTTTTATGAGTGCAGTTATTGGGCCAACCACTGTGTCAGGGAAGGGACTCCTAACGGCTTGATGGAACTGTGCCTGTTTGTCTTCCTCTATAGAGCTGACAGAGAGGTTAAGGAACAGTCTTATAAATAGTTATTGAAATAGGTTTGTCTCTGCATTGTCTGTACCTGGGAAAGATCCCTGGGCCCTCCTCCTCACTGCCTTCCCTCAGGGGCTGCTCAGGCCCCTTCCCCTCTCTATGTGGACCCACTGGGGCTAGTAATAGAGGACCTCCAGCCACATAAGCCTGGTCTGAACCTAGCTGGTCTCATTTGCATCGCCATCCTTTGTTAAGTGTAGACAGTTGGGGGGGAGGGCAGTGGCTTCATGCCCGAGTGACCAAGGGAACAGATGAATGGGACTAGCTGCCCCCTTGAGACAAAACAGCTGTGGGACATGTTTCTTTACACAGGACTACTGCACTGAGAATAGAGCCTCATCTCAGTTCCTGCTCTCATTGGGCTACTCTGTCCAGCCAGATCATGGCACAAACTTCAGTTCCCATGCTTGGGACTGTCCCTAAGGTGATTGTGGCAGACATCTTAGGAGGCAGGAGGCCAGAGACCCCCACTGACCCATTCTCCTTTTCATTTACAGATTATCAAGGAGATCCCTCCACCCCCTGTTGAGGAGAGTGAGGTAAGAGGCCCAAGTAGAGTGCATGGGGTGGGAAAGTGGCAGGGTGGGGCAGCATTGACTGGTTATGCAGCCCCTTGGTGAGCAGGGCTGGGCCCCACTGCTTGTGGAGAGAACCTTTGGGCCTTTTCTAACCAGGCTGAATTTGAACTGAGAAGCACAGGCAGCCAGAGGCCAGCTGATTTCTTTCCACAAAGTCAAATTTTAAAGTGCATACATTTGTCTGCCCTGTTTGATTTCAAGGATTTTGGAAGATTTTCTGTTGAGGGAATGTATTTGACTGTTGGATTTTTTCTGTGCTTGGATCCAGGACATCACACATGCTACATACTCTCCACCTAAGCCCTAGTCCTCCTCCCCACTCCTCTCTTTTGAGACAGGTTCTTATGTGGCACAGGTTTAGCTTGAACTCATCTTGTTCAACCTCCCCAGTGCTGGGAACGCAGACATGTATCGCCACATTCAGTATAAATGGTTATCAATACAACGAACAATTTGGGGTAAAACCCAAGAGTAACTTTTCCCCTGAAACGTATTAGAATTCTTGTCTTCCTGTAGATATACACTTCACATGCACAGGTTATGGTAAATTTGCCACACTCTGCAAATAATCACTGCCTCTAAGGCTGGTGCCAAGAATCCCATTTTTCTTTAATTTGAAATGGTATTACATAAAATCTGCCAGATGGTCATGAATCTATGGTGGGGCAGGATATACTAATACTCTGGCCTCCCTCTCAAATCCTCATGGTCTACAGACAAACTCTTCAGAGTCTTCCACTCAATGGGCCAGGAAGCTGCTGTGGTACAAGGGCAGCTCTAATAAACCAACAGAGGTGTTCACAGCTGCTGGTGGGTGGGAGTTCCCAGCAAATGGCCTTCCCAACTTGGGGCATCAGGATCCTTAAGAGTAACACTACCAGAGTAGAAGCCCCAGATCTGAAAACTTATTGGGATTGAGAGGTGCTAAGATGAGGTTTCCCTGTAGTCTGTCCACATGCACCAAAGATACCACCTCTTAGCTATCCCTGTCCCAGGGCAGCCTCCCTACACAGAAAGAAAGATGATTAGGTTTAAAATTCCATGTGTCTCTCATGTGCTGAATGGTGCGTGAACAAAAGACTTAATAGCTGCAATCAATTAAAGCACATCTTGTAGGAATGCTAACTCTCTGCCCAGAAACCAAGGAAGTTGCATTGCTGTGCAGAGAGGAGAGAGAAGAGAACCCTCTCTGTGTGTTGAGTCTGTTCTTAACCCTCCAAGAGCAGCTAGTCCTGAAGTTCTGTTTTGCTTTGCCTATTTTGTGTGCATCTATCTCTTGGAATCCCAAAACAGTGAAGCTCCCTGATGGGCCACTATGTCCAATCTGGGGTGGAAAACTGTTCTCTCCCTCAGTGTTGATCTTTCTGGTGCTTGCTCTGAGTTGGCCTTTAGAAGGTGAAATGATGGAGATTTTGGTACTGGAGTACTGTGGGGTCTGATGCACTTAGCATCTAATACAAGGATCCACAGACACCATGGGTGCACAGGCATGGGTTGGATGCATGGCTAGAAGCCAAACAAGAAAGAATAAGTAAAAGCAAGGGAAAGGAAGAAACTGAGGGTTGTTTTTGTTTTGTTTTTGTCTCATTAATATTTTTTATGGAGATTGTACTTTGACTAAAAAAAGGCAAACATAGTTCCTGAAACATAATGGTGACCATGAACATGGGACCTGAAGAGTTGTGGGAGGCTTAAGGCAACTTCTTCCTGCCAAGATTACTTCAGCATGTGTATTAGCCCTGGGGCCCCTTGGGGCCCTAGTCCCCTTCCTATTGTGCTCTGGCAGGAAGAAAAAAAAGAGAGAGAAATCCCACAGAAAGGAAAAATGTAACTTAGACCATGTTTGGTATTTTATTCAGTGTTCTGAGAATCACAATTAGAATCTACATGCTTCTCGGATCCAGCGCCATATGAACATACCACTGAGGCCTCAAGCACAACTTGTGTACCTGTCTTCAGAGAGTGCCCTGAAAAGTCTCCTGTCAAGTGCATGCCTCCTTTCTCCTTCTTGGTGGTCTCTGTTTATGGCATTAAATCCTCCCTCTGCATCAGAGATTAAGACATTAGATGCTCAAAGGTCAGGAACTACCTACCAAGTTACACAAGCTGGGAGTGATGGTGAGTGCTAGTGATCCCAGAGCAATGGAGGCTGAAGCAGGAGGACCTTAAGCTACATAGAAAGGCCATGGCACATGTGGCAGAGGAGAGAGAGAGAGAGAGAGAGAGAGAGAGAGAGAGAGAGAGAGAGAGAGAGAGAGAGAGACTGCCCTGTGGAGGAAACCCCTTGCCTACTATACAAATGGACAAGATAGATATTAACTAACCATCAGATGTATAACCATCACATCCTAAGGGAGGCTGTCCTAGTAAGGATTACTACTGCTGTGATGAAACACCATGACCAAAAGCAGTTCTATAGAACAGTTCATCATCAAAAGCACTGAGGGCAGGAAGCTGGAAGCAGAGACCATAGATGACTGTTGCTTACTGGCTTGCTCCCCATGGCTTGCTCAGCCTGCTTTCTTATTGGACTGAGGACTACCAGACCAGGGGTGGCATCACCCACAATGGGCTTGGCCCTTTCCCATCAGTCACTAATTAAGAAAATACCCTACAGGCTTGCTGTAGCCCAATCTTATGGAGACATTTTCTCAATTGAGCCTCCTTCCTCTCTGATGACTCTAGCTGGTGTCAAGCTGACATAAAACCATCCAGCACAGAGGAGCATCACTGTATAAATAAATGAATAAATAAATAGATAAATAGATAAATAAATAAATAAGGATGGAGGCAGCTTAAGGACTCTATATAGTGATCCTCTTTCCTGTGGAACCCTCTTTAATAGGAAGTACAAAATGCAGAGGGCAAAAGTTACCCCTTTCTGGGATTCCCTACCACTGGAAGTGAAGTCATTAAGCCAGCATAAAGAAAAGTCACCTGAGCTTTGCAGATCTTAGCAGATGGAAGCAAACTCAGGATAACACCCAAGAGGAGCATCAGGGGTGAGGGCTTCTCCCACCAGCGTGAGGCTTAATGTTCACTGACTTAATGTTCACAGAGAGTTGGCAGTTACTGGTAGGGTGTGTTAGCAGTGCCCTCTGTCAGGAGGCTCGTTGTGTATAATCACCTCCACAGATGCCATGACTACATTTGCATTAGAGTAATGCCATTTACTTCTTGACAACATGGCTCCCTCAAGCACAATTTTATCCAACAATAAAGGTTTCAGTAACTAATGCTTACCCAGATCGTGTGTGTGTGTGTGTGTGTGTGTGTGTGTGTCAGAGCATTTAACTTCAAATCACTATTGACTATTTCGTCAGAGATGGGTAGATCTAGGGAGAGTGTGGTTGGCAAACATGGAAGGCAAGCAGCCCCAGACATCCACCTTCTTTCTGGCTTCTCTCTGTTGCTTCCCACTTCTCTCCAGGACCCTACTCCCCTCTGCTCTCTCCTCACTGGCCTCCTTCATGATCTCATAACTCTAGTGATGGGAGATATTTCTCTTATTGGTTAATGAATAAAGCACTGTTAACCAATACGGAAGCAAGATAGGTGGGACTAGGAGAGGTGGAGGATTCTGGGAAACATAGAGGTGTGATCTCGGGGAGAGGGCATGTGAATCTGGCGTTCTCAATAAGATAAGACCATGTAGAAATACATATGTTAGTGATTATGGGTTAATAATTTAGACAGAGCTAGCCAATAAGAAATGCTAGAAACAGGCTAATGTTTCATGTCTCTGTGTGTTATTTGGAGCTGATCCCGCTGTGGGACCAGGCTGGTGGGAAAGTGCTAGTAACACTCCAGTCTGTGCAGGCCCTTTTTGCTCTGACCACAGCTGATGGCATGGCCTGGGCCTTCCTCTTTCAGCTTCTACCCCGTAAATAAGACCTCAGTCCCTCGGTCTATATCTCACTTCCCAGCAGGGGAAAAGATATAGTGTATCTGAACCCATTAAAATGTGTAAAAGAGTAGTTATGTAGAAAGAATATTTTTTAGGATTTTAGAGCTATCCAGGCAACTGTACACAGAAGATAACCTTTCTGTATTGTTTCATTTAGACACTCGACATGATGAGAATAAAGCTGCCCTGTTATAACTCCAATTTATAAGTGAAAACCGGAGGTACAATAAGGTGAAGATAGGTGTGTCAATCAAATTCCCATCCCTGGGACAGAACACCTGAGACAAGCAAGCTAAAAAGAAAAGTTTGTTTAGTGTCAGGGATTTTGGCCTGTGGTTACGTGGCTCTTTACTGTGGTTAAAGCACAGCATACAGGGAGCCTGTGGCAAAGGAGGTGGCCAGGAAGCAGAGTGATAGGGAAGGATCAGGGTCACAATATTCCTCTATGGAAACACCCTACATGACCATCTCCTGTGGGTACTTTCACAGATTATAGTGGCTCAGCCACTTTTCTGACCACCTCCTGATGATTTCACACAAGGCCCTCCCTCCTTCCTGCTACTTGATATTGTGAAACAGTTTGGCTCGGTCAATCCTTGCCTCCAAGAACTATGAAGGTCACAAAAGTTTATTTACCAAGAAAAAAAATCTGTGCTAACTGTTCCTCCTTCTGGATATATCCCTGAAGGTAACTGGGGGAAGATACCTCCCAGAAACCTTTAATTTTAATCTTTAATGAGATGTTGAACTGCATCTTCATCGCCCTCTGAAACAGTCGCCTGTCTGAGGGTTTGTGCTGAGCCCTGTGAGTTTACTCCATCAACTTTTGTCCAAGTGAAAAGGCACATCAAAGGTTCTCCGCTCCCTAGGATTGTGCAATTCTGTAGGCTCTGGTGCATAAACAGAGCTGTGCTTACTGCAGGGAAATGCTGACTCTCCCTTTGCTCAGATCTTGGGCTCAGCGTTGACTTTCATGACTGTTATTTGAGTTTGAGGGAAGCTCAGGTCAGGGTCTAAAATGGGGTTTGATAGAGCTGAATGTATGTCTAAGTATTTCCTGTTGTGAATCCACACGGAGTGGGGGGTGCACCGGTCTCTGGATGGCCTGCCCTCCTTTCCCAGGGTCCATACACACAAGAGTGGAAGTGGAGAGAGGGGTGCCTGGAGTGTGCCAGGAAGCGAAGAAAAGCATAGAGATGGATTTTGTGTGTTCTTTACATAAACATTCAGAGTATCTCCAAATTCTAGGAGAAAAAAAACAAACAGATGTGAATCAAGTTCTTGTACTAAGGGGTGTGGCATCCACTGGACAGATACCAAGACACCAAATCAGAACTTCACCTCCACTGCCCAGAGCATGGCAGCCACTTTATCACAAAACAGCTGGAGTAGATGGTGTCCATGTTTGCACTTCTGTAATTAACAAATGATGACATTCACAAAACCATCTCCTCCTAATGCCGACTTTTTATGACACAATAGCCAAGGCTGGGTGACTTAAGGGGAAGAGAAACTAATTTCTTACAGTTCCAGGAAGTCCAGCCTGCCTCTAATAAGAGCTTCTTAAGCATCATCCAGAGCAGAAGTGGAAGAGCAGGTAAGTTTAGCCAGAGAGCAACTGAGCCATGGCTCTGCCATGGCTGCTCACTTATGACAAAACCAGCTCTGTGAGGACACAGCCAGCCCTCAGACTACTCACTTTTTGTCAGGTACTATCTCCTCACACTGTTGCCTTTGGGATTACCCTCCTGACATGTGAAGTTCAGTGGCATATTCAAATACCACCCTGTTGTGAAGGAAGAACCTGCTCCTGGGGCTGTCCACACCCATTCCCTGGTTCAGAACAATGTACTGAGACCTCCAGAGCCTAGGGACTTAACTGTGCTCTGAAACTGTGTGGTTTGACTGCACCAGCTTGTTCCTGTCCACCTCACCATAGTAGACACACACAACCTTAGGGGACTTTGTCTTTATGTGTCACAATCTCTCGGCAGGAAGAAGACGATGATGGTCTGCCAAAGAAGAAATGGCCGACAGTAGATGCCTCTTACTATGGAGGACGAGGTGTCGGAGGCATTAAAAGGATGGAGGTAAGAGTTTAACCACCATACAACTGTCTGTGTGGCCAACATCTGGTGACAGAAACCCAGAGCAAATGCTGGTGGTCCATGCTTGAGGATTAGGGAGAGGTGGCTTATGAGAGACAAAGCTGGGGAGTTGGAATGGTTCAGCCTTTAACTGCATGCCTGCCTCTTGCCCATCGTGAGTCAGCAGAGGTCACTTGTCTACCAAACCCCCACCCCCATGGTTTCTGTTTTCATTAGACTAAAACCCCACTTCTGTACCTCCATCCAGACAGTTCTCCCTCTAATTCTTCCAGCCCTTAGCTCTCCACATTCCCTTTTTCCATACACCCTACTTCTCTGGCTCATGATCCTAAAGGAACAGAGGAGCCAGTGGCATGCACATCACCCTGTCACTCTGGTTCTCAAGAGCAAGCTGTGTGATCCTGTAACTTAGTTTTATGGGATTTCACTTCCGTTAGGTTCGATGGGGAGAAAAGGGCTCCACAGAAGAAGGTGCTAAATTGGAAAAGGCAAAGAATGCAAGAGTCAAGATGCCAGAGCAAGAATATGAGTTCCCGGAGCCCCGCAATCTCAACAACAACATGCGCCGGCCATCTTCCCCCCGGAAGTGGTACTCGCCCATCAAGGTGTGTCTCTGCCCAAAATCTTTTCAGCATTCCTTCTTCCCAGCTGTGAGACAGACTTCTCTCTTCTCCATTATCTATCTCCTCTCACCCCATCATCAACTCCAGGCCCTAATGGACTCTGGCTTCTTGAGAAGTTAAAACCCTGGGAGGTGACACATGCAACTAAGCCTTTGTCACCATGGGTGCACCATGGGTGCACATGGCTTTGAATTCCTGTGAGGGGTCAGCACTCTTCTCTGTGTCCTTATCCCTTTGCACCTGCACTATGACAGCCATCAGAACCCTAGGAACTTCTAGCTAAGGACTATGGACAAAATCCATCTCAATTCCTGCAGAGTCTTTTCTCCAAGGTTCCAGGTGGACCCACTCCTAAGCCTCAGGTAAAAGTGTGAAAACCAGCTAGTCTCCTTTCCCAACCACACACATGCCTACAGCCTTGCCCCTCTCCTGGAACAATTTTTCCCCATTTCTGAGTACTTCTTAGCTTTAGACCAGCCCTTATACAAATCAAGAGAAATGTCAGCATTGGGGAGATGGTTGGGTCTTTAAACTGATTGCTGCATAATCGAAGATCTCTGAAGCTTGCTGGAGCTGGATGGATAGGGAGTCTAGCCAAATCAGTGTGCTCTGGGTTCAGAGAGATACCATGTCTCCAAAAGTAAAGCAGAGAACTACTAGGAGGCATATGCAAGTCAGTCTCTGGCCTCCACATGCGCATGTGCGTGCTGCTAGGTAGACTGAGACTGGACTGGAAGTTGCTGTTTCTCAGCGGAATGATCACACGTTTCTATTTGGGCTTGTTTAAAGCCATGAGATTCTTTTTTTAGGATGAGCCTCCCTGAGGCAAAGGGTGAGCTGTGTGTGAAGCACAGCTGGCTGGAGGAATGGCTGTTGCTGCTAATTCTTCGCCAGTGAGGAACGTGCAGTGGCGTGCAGACAGGAAGGAGCCGAGAGGATTCTTGGAGATGAGAAGAAGGGGGATTTTCTGTCCTGTCGTTTTCAGGAATCCACCTTGTGACTAACACGGCATCCTTGGTTGTAGCTGAATTTTCATTTCTGGAATCTTCAAGGTTGGAAGGGCATGTTGTTCTTTTCTTAACTGGTGGCTTCAGACTGAGTTTTTGCTAAATGAGTCAGGATGAGGACAAATACATTTAGAAATCTGAAGATTTTGCCAGCACCCTCCTGGAATCTGGAGGTTTTGTCGAGTCTCTTATGTGCCGGGCACAGATACTGAATGGTGGAGCTTCTCGGCCCTGTATGAGCCAGATAGTGGTGGGAAGAGGAGGTCAGAATGAGGATCCCAGGCTTGGAGGTCCAAGTCTCACAAAAGACCTCCATGATGCCCTCAAGCCTTGCCTATTTCAGCTGCCAGCTCAAAACTACTCCACCTGCCAAGCCTTAAGAGTCCATACCTCAACTTCATGTCCAATATCTTTCTGTTGTCCCAAGGACTTAGGGCTGGTGCTCCCCTGTCCCTTCCTTTTTGAGAAAGAGTCTCCCTAAGTTACATGGGATGCCCTGGAACTCATGGCAGAAGGGTCACAGGCACTTGGTCACAATATGGTCCCTAAACCATTGGGCTTCACCCATGAACTTATTAGAAACACATATTGAGGGATCCCATCTAAGACTGGCTGCATCAAAAACTCCAGCGTAGGGCCCAGAATCTGGGTTTTAATAAGCCCAGTATACAGGGTGTCACCCAAGGTCACTCTGACAGCATTGCCTGAGGCAGTGCTGGATCTCAGAGGATAGGCACCTGGGTTATTACAATGAACAAAGAGCTTAGCCATTTCTCTGTGATATGTCTGAAGCATCAGCAAGGAAACCCCAGCTACGTTTCATGTTAGGGCCGTTTAACACCCACCGAAACGATGTGAAGTGACTTGGAATCCAAGTCTTGGAGTCGTCTTACAGTACAGATGGAGGGCACCTGTGAGACTAGTGCCTCTTGTCTGGGCACAACTCTGGTTGAGTGAAACAGCTAATGCCAGCACTCACACATGCTTCGGCTACATAGGGGATGGGTGAGTCACAATTAAGGAGATTACCTCAGGGTTATGAACCTTCTCATTGCATCTCACCCTCTGGGGGTTCTTGGTTAAAGATGGGATTTTGTGCCTACTTGCCATCCTCCATGCTGGAATTTTGACAAGTGCTATGACTTTGTAAGTATATCAGCCCTGTCGTATCTGACACACAAAGAGCTCCCAGAGACTGTGGCTTTGACAGTATTGACTGCTTCTATAAGTTCTTTCAAACCCACCTCAGTTTTCCTCTTCCTGAAGCCTCCAGTTCTTTGACCCCTTCTAGAAGATGTGTGTAGACCCCCACCCTATAGAAATACAGTTACCACAGGATGCAGGGAAGTGGAAAGGGGACAGAAGAAACAAACACTCTCCCTCATCTCACTCTCTCATGCCCTTCTCGTTCCCCCATGAGCCAAGGGAAGGTATCTGGTGCAGATGCAGCATGCAGAGAAATGCCACCAGTAGGTGAGGACAGGCAAGTCCTAAAGAATGGCCAATCCACACTGTGTCCACCTTCCATTCTCACTGAGAACAGGGAGAACCAACCCTGAGGTTGTATCTAGCTCTCCAGCAAAAGTGGTTGGAATCATCTACACGGTGAAATGGGGTGCAACAGACCCACCTTCTCCCTTCATCCCGGGGAGCTGAGAAGCAGGTGGTCGGTCCTACTTGCTAAGGAGCCCTGCAGGTGCTGAGGGGAAAGGGCTACAATGGGCCCCTCCTCTTGTCTCCCCATTGTGCCCATGCTATACTAAGACACTGACCACACCGACCACACTTCCCCCATCCTCATTCCAGGCCCATGCTGCGGGAATTTCCCCTGGTATTTAGCTGCATTTTCCTTTGCTTGGTTTTTACTTCCCCGTGCTTCTCATTAAACAGAATTGGTCATTTCAGACAAGTTAAGTCATGCCCAGATACATGGCCACCAGCTGGATTAAAACTAGGACTTACTGTAGACTTCAGAGAAACTACACATCTCTTTTTCCAGTAGCTTCTCCACATGTCGGGAAGTAAGAGAAATGACAACTAAAGGGTCAAACCAGAGCCTGCCTTGAAAGACAGACAGGCTACTCCCTGCAAATGGCAGACTGTCAGTGACAGGGTTGTGGATTAAACTATCAAAGCATAGGAATCCAGAGAAGTGCTATAAATTGTACTGTCATGAAGTTCCCAACTCAGAGTCAAATCCAAAGAACAACAAATGAAAGAAGAAACACAGAATGCAGCAGGTCTCACCATTATAAAGGCCAAGCACCATAGGCCTTCACCTCTCTCCATGCATTTTAGTTATCATCTGAGGCAGAGTGAGGTGTGGTTTCAGGAGCCTGGCACTGGTAAATTTCCCATTTTATAGTCAGGCTGTGTCAACTTCATATGGAAGAAGCTATTTTTAAATGTCAGCTAACACACCCCTGGCTGGAGCTCCGGGGTTTGTGGTAGAGTCTTTGTCATAGTTTCACAGAAGCAGCTGGCATTAGCCTGGGAAATGAAGACCAGAGTCTAAAGCACACATTGTGTACAAGCTGTGCCTGATGGACACAACACATGCACACACACACTTGTGTACACACATACACACCACACCACCTCCACACACACACCCCACTTACAAACAGAAAAACCAAGTACCAAGAGAGTGATTTGCTTGAGTGAACACTTCTGGTTCACAGACTGAGATTTATTTTATTAACCATTATGAATCTATTTGGATTAGTAGGGAAGTCTTAAATCAGCACACACAGAGAAAGAGGACAGGAACCTGAGGTAAAAGAGCAGGCTGGAAGTGTTTCACTAAGTGGCATGTGACAAGGGTCCTGGCTCCATCAGGGACTATGGAAATAGTGGGATGGGAAGAGGGGACAGGGGAGCTGGGCATGGGAGCACTCCCAAAACATGGCTGATGTTGGACCTGAAGCAGTGTGGAGAGAGGGTAACCCATGCTGTATAGCTTGTACCTCCATGAACTAAGACAGGGTGTGAAGAGGGGGTACATGTGGGTAAAAGAGCTCATTGATTTACCATGCTTGCTTTTGGCTCCTGTTACACATCTATACATCTCCACCAGAGTTAAAATTTGACAGGTCATTCTGTGCCTTGATCTGGACCAAAATAGCCATGCTGTACCTAGATCTGGACCTCGAGAGAGGCCCAGTAAGACTAGATGGGAGAGTCAGGCCAGGTACAGCACAAATGGGGCCAATAGGAGCACTGTGCCCAAGTCAAGCACAGGCAGAGGGAAGAAGCAAAGAAGCTGAATGGACAAAGCAGAGAGGGGGAAAAAACAGGCCAACCCTAAGAAAGCCAAGGCCAAGGGAAAGGAAGACCCCTGGGAGGACAGCCCAATGGATCTCCAGGATATGGATGGGTTTGACCATCGAGATGTCCTGTGGCCTAAGCAAGAGCCATTCTGAGGGAGTGACTGGAGCCAGAGCACAGCTGGGGTGTGGTGAAGAGGAATGGGATTTCACCTTGAGGAGGAGGTGGTGGCAGACCACACATGGAGATAGGTATGCACTTATGGATGTCCACGGATTGAACACACTCAGCCTTGCCCTCTTCCATCTTCATACTGCCTCCTCAGTTGTCATTTTCATGACTTTACTTTGATTACAGATAGCATGTTGTGAATACTTTTCCTGAGATGAGGAGATAACATCAATGTTTAATTTACAGTTTAATCTATAGAGGAGACAGCATTATTAACCCCTCACACACACTGTAAGAAGAGCAAGCCCTGGGGAGTTGGGACAGCTCTGTGCTGCAGGCTGGAGAAGAGCAGGCCCGGTTACAGCTTCCTAGGGTACTTGAGCCCTCTGTGCTTAGGCTCTGTGTGGTTACCCACTCCACCAAAGAGCATAATTCACTTTCTCCTGGGACTGCAGAACTAACCTGCTCTCCACTGTGCACCGTGTGTGCTGCTTTCTGTTTCTTCAACAGCCAAACTTTCAGCCATTGTTCCTCGTTTATCAGGGGTTGAGTGACTAGCAAATAAGGGGTTATAGGTGGGCTGACTTAACAAGCCGAATACTAGGAGCCACTCCCTTCTAGAAAACAAAGGCATTCACCTACCTAATATCCTGAGCTGTAAGGGCTTGTCGCTAAGGACCTTCAAGGAAACATTTAGCTGACACTTAGCATTGCGTCATGCAGAAAACTGTTGTGAACACACCACCAGTTCTGTCCAGCAGCAACACTAAATTAAATCCATTTCAGAATATTTTCAAAGACTTTTGTAGATTATTTGCAACAGGAGATGAGAAACTCAATACTAATCAAGATCACATTGAACCCACAGGAGCTTAAGCAACAGCTGGCCAGTGTTCAAGAGTTTAGTTTTTCAGGTGTGTGTCTAACCAACCCACCAGAAAGTGACTTTAAACCTGTTGTCAGCATTAAGAGTCTATTCAGGCTGAAAGGCTGAGCTCTGCAGATGTCTCCTGCCTTCCTACTATCACCATCCTCCAGGACACTACACATATCCATGCAATCAAATATACCCAACACCCCTGTATGACTCACACTGTACAAGGAGGTCTAAATATATACACATACAACCAAAACACAGCTTTCACAAAATGGCACGATCCTCATCATGTGCTCTTCTATTATAGTTCTCAAAATGTCCAGTCCTGGCATATATAAACGATTCCGTGAGAACCTGAAGAATTGCAACCCTGCTGCCAGGGCTACAGGGTAAAGCTCTTCAGACGGACCTTCATGAGCAGGACTGCAGCTAGGGTGGTGCTCTATGGGCTTTGGAGTCAGAAAGTTGCAACTCCTGATGACAGGGTGTCTGTGGGAAAGCCATTTGGTCATGCTGAGTCTCCATTTTCTCCACACTGCTCTAGAAACTGCTGAAAGAATCACATGAGAAGAAAAATGTGCAGGCACCTAGAATCTTGGGTCATTCAGCACCCACCACCTAGTATCCATGGTCATTCAGCACCCACCAACATGCATTGAGGGATAGGCACATAGCATTGGACAGAACCAAACACATCAATGCTTTGGTAAAGTTTGTGTTCCAGTAGTCAGAGACACACAGTAAGCTGGTGACCACTGAATATGGCAGTAGGTGGCAAGGGCTGACCTAATTCCCTATCTTTGTTATCATAAAGTATAGACTCTTGGAGGTTAAACAGCACAGATTTATCTTACATTTCTGAAGTGAGAAGCGCATAGGTCTCACTGGGCTAAAAGCCTAGGTCAGGGCCAGGCTGTTCTCCTTTCGGAGGTACCAGAAGAGAATCTGTTGCCTTGACCAGATGCTGGAGGCCATCTGCACTTAATTGGCTGGAACTCCTTCCCTCCCTAAGGCAGTGTCCCTGGTTTGGGTCCTCTAAATGAGTCACCCTAAGATACATCTCTGATCCTGGCCTTCCTATCCCTCATGGTGAAGGACCCGTGTGGCCTCTTGGGGGCACTCTGGGTAGTCCAGGCTGGTTTCTCATCTCCATCATTCAGTTGTGTCATTAAAGCCCCTTTTGTCCTATAAAGCAAGGGAGTCCTTTTTGAGGTGCACTTTTATCATAAACTAAGCACTCTACAGCTACTGAGGGCCTAGCCACGGGCCTCAATGTAGGGGCCTTATGTTGTTGCTTTTTCATTTTTCCTTGTGGGAAGGGCAAGAAATTGTCCTATAGTTGTCATCATCATCATCTCATTTTATCTGGCCACCAAGTGGTTAGTGAAAATTGAGAGGTTTTCTGTGTGGTGTGAAGATATAGCCACAGGAGTACAGTGAGAGCAAATTCCAAGAGACTGGATAAGCCTCACTGTGGAAGATTTAGAGCTGAAGTGACCTTTCCCGTGTGTGTGTGTATGTGTGTGTGTGTGCGCGCGCACACACACAAGTGCGTGAGAGAGACTATGTGTGTCATGTCTTCATATATGTATGTGTCTGTATCTGTGCCTGTGTGTGTGTGTATGTGTGTATGTAGGGTGTCATCCTCTGTCACTGTCCACCTTATTTATCAAGGCAGAGAGAGTCCCATGCTGAACCCAGAACTCACGAATCAGCTAGTCAAGCTAGCCAGCTTTCCCTCCTGTGCACTGAGACTGCTTACCTGTGGAAGACATCTGCCTGGCAAGCACTGTATCCTCAGAGTCATCTTCCCAGCCCTGTTCTCAGCTCTTAGAGTATATCCCTTGCACTGAGAGTGGAGAGTCCCTAACCCACATTCACCATGTCACCCGAGCTCTGCTTCTATCATGGCAGGAGGACCTGGAGACTTATTCATATCTACAGTGGCTGATCACCCAGCTGGTTTTGTATGTAATCTTCATGCATTTGTTTTGTTTCAGGGAAAACTCGATGCCTTGTGGGTTCTGCTAAGGAAGGGCTATGACCGAGTGTCCGTAATGAGGCCACAGCCAGGAGACACGGTAAGATGTGCCAACAATTCTACACACACACTTTTTTCTCTTTCCCTCCCTCTGTTTCAGTTAATGCCAGAATAACTGTTCTTGTACAACTCCAGCTATTGCTTTCTATGATGACAAATGAGATGCTAATTTCTTAACTCCTTGTTGTTTGGCAGACCTTGTGTTTGGATTTGCTTTTCTGAAAATGACTTTGATATCAATACACTGGGTTTCACTTCATAGAACTTGAGATTTTTCAGGCTAGATTGAAGTGAGTGGCAGTTCCAGGTAGGCTCATCCTGCAGGCGGTCTCCAGAGAGAGGTCTGTGGTCTCGTCATCTACACAGGTCACTGGAGAGAGACAGAGCTAGCATCCCAAGAGAGACATGAAGGCTGTAAAGAGCTCCAGACACCTGCCCATGGTGTTAGCCAGCTGTCTAGAACTCTGGGGTATGTGGGGGGGGGTCTGCTCTGATGGGGTTTGACCACACCTATCAGGAGCCAACTTAAAGAGCCTCCCACTTAGGGAAGTTACACAGGTAGTACCACCCTAGAAACCAGGCAGCCAGTGTCTTCTCTTTGTTAATGGACACAAAAGAAATGAGTAATGCCCCATCTCAGGAGAGGTCTCAAATCCAGGCTCAGAACAAAATTCTCTTAGCTTCCAGCCACCTGCTTCTTCCTTGGCAACCTGGCTCGTTTATCCACACAGAGAATAAAGGTAGCTCATCACAGACTCCTTTGAGTCAGGCAGATTGATCATGGAGTAACTACCTGAAGAGAAAAACTCAGGCAAACCCCTGGCCTCTGTGTTTCATCTTTGTAAATTTGATGATGGTAACCATGTTGTGGATGCAACTGGCAGGTACTGGTAACAGCTTGTGCCCACTGGTGTGCCTGAGGCTAAGAACCCCCACAGGTGGACCTGAGGTGCCTGAGGCTAAGATTCCCCCACAGGCGCACCTAAGAGACTTCAAGGATAGAGAGGATCACTGGCTGGCCATCCTCCTCCCCTGCTTTGTTTTTCATAACCTCAGGACACTCACTACAGACCGTCTGTGATGACTACACAAGATTTATGGGGCTGACCACATTTTCCATCAACTCAAAGTCACTCCCACCAGCCATGTGCCTGTGAACAAGAGTCACAGGTTCTGAATTTTTCTATAAAGCAAAACAAAAACAAATCTCAGTCCCACTCTGAGACGCTACAGTGTTCTAACTCCTGAAGCCTGGCAGCTCCTCCCTTGGCTTCTGTCTGGTCCTTCGCCAGTCAACACACCTGGAAAGACAGACAGGTGTAGGCCCAGTCCACCTGTGCAAGGACTATAGAAACTTGAGGCCCTCCTCAGAGTTGACTACACCCCACAGAACAGATATGGCTGCTTCCCTACCTGACACCCTCTTTCAATCCTGGAGAGGCACACAGTTCATGATTCCTTGAATCCCACCAGGAAATCTCTAGGTCAGTGTAAATGAGAGAGTGACAGGACTATTTCCTAACATTTTAAGTTTACTATGTAGGGTCTCTTGCTTGCACCAATCCCTGCTTCCAGTAAACAGCCACTGGGGTACCTGAGGCTAAAACAAAGCCTTCAGTGTATCTTTTTTGACTTCTGACTTGCAAGACCTAGAGGGAAAAAAGCTACAACATCCTGGATTGACCAAGAAAATGCTCCCTTTCTATTTTATCTGCTATCCACCCTCATTCCCTGAGCAACTCCAGACTCCAGTCACATGGCACTCACTGAGCCCTGATCATGCTAAGGCCTTGCTGTCTTCCCAGTAGTCATGTTTCTCTGCTTGCTGGGCCTTCCCATCCCCTCCACTTAACAGACTTCTGTTACATTGGCATCACAGTTCACCATCTCCACAGGGACCCTCTCACCACAGAAAACTAGACCCATGCTTCCAAGATGGCAGTGCCAAAGCAGGTCCCATGTGACACATAATGAAATATCCCTTGCACAATTTGTAGATTGTCCCCAAGGCTTACTGCACAGGTAAGCAGCTTGGACTTCAGGAACTTTACTCCTCTTTCAAGGACAAATGAGTGAAGGAATTCAGACTGTTTAGCCTTAGGAAAAAAAAACTTAGAAAGCTTGTGAGGGCTTTTCAGTGGCCATTTTCTAAGTCATTGTGTCCCATTTAATAAACCTGTTTTTAATCCACTCACCATATCCTTGGAGTGACCTTTCCATTCCATTATCTCTCCTAAGATTACTTAAAGAGACTGTGCCATCTTTCGTTGTGTATTTTTCCTCCTGGGACCTTTATTCCCAGGTGATTATTATTATCATAGGAACGCTGGGAAATACTTCTTTGGAAGAGTGTCTGGCTCTTGACCAGATCAGTCGTATGCACAGTACTGAAGCTGTCATAGGCTTTCCCAAGTTACAGGCCTAAAGTTTCTGTAAATTTACCTTTCTGGTAATGTCTTCATCAAATTCACAGGTCTCAGGAAAGCCATCTATTTGATACAAGCTCATTTGAGGACAATTTTGCAGATGGCACTTTTCTCTTTCTTCAATTATCTTTGTGCTTTTGATCCACCTTTAAGATTCATTTTATTTTTGAATTAATGTGTGGGGGGGGGGGAATAGCTGTCTGTGGCTGAGGGGTGCCCACAGAAGAGCATCTGATCTCCTGGAGCTGAAGTTACAGAAGTTGTGAGCAGCTTGACATGGGTGCTGGGAACTGAACCCAGGCCCTCAGCAAGCACAAATAGTCTTAACCATTGAGCCATCTCTTCAGCCCTATTGATCCAATTTTCTATTGAGTATTTTCCTAAGACACTTTCTTGAGTGAGGTTAATTAAGGTTGGCACACAGGAATAAAACAAGGTGCATCAACAGGCCACGATCTAACAGAGATGGGGTCATATAGCAGACCAGTGGTTCTCAAAGGTGGGCTTCAGGTTACTGAGACCCATCTCACAGATTCTGAGGCTGGGAGTCCTGTGCCTAGATCACTAATTTCAAGCACATTGTCCGGTAAGAAAGGCTTGGTGAAATGTAGGTCAGGGTCTCTGGCTCCAGTGCTTTCCAGGCTGGCACCAAGGCACATGGGTCCCACCCATGATTCTGTTGAATTGCTCTGGCAGCAGTCTTTGCTCTCTGGGAGGTTCTAACAGGCGTCCAGGGATGAGAACAAGTGATCTGGTTCCACATAAGTGTCATCTTTTTCTTTGGGGAACAATTTAAAGACAGGTCTCCACATTGTGAAACTCGAAGCAAGTCACAATCTTCAATCTCATAGCCCCTTACCTCCCAGGAACAGGTGGCCAGAGTAGATTCTGGGGGCTGATGTTGTAGTTGTTTGGGCAAGTATAACCCATCTGAGTGTCTGTGGATGGAAGCCATTGCATCTTTCCACAACTTAAGTGTCCCCCATCCCCCTTCATTTCCCTCCCCCCTCTCCCAGCATGAACTCCATCCAGTTCCTCATGTGCTCCTGGATGACCCATGGAGCTAGACCTTTGTTTTATTTTTAGCTCCTTGGTTGCTCTCAGGTTGTGGGGGGGGGTACATTCCATTACTCCCTGCAAACATATTCTGAGCTTGTTTTGAAGACTGGGAACTCCTTGCAATAAGAATAGATCAGAGGAAAGGCACATGTAAATGCATGTAAACAATGTCTGCTGCTCTTCTGAGTGCAGCCAGTCCTGGAGGTTGAGCAATCTGTGCTGTAGCCCCAGGACTACCTTCTGCACAGCTGTTTACAACAAGGAACCAAGGTTGGTTGTGTGGGCACTATGTCTGCACTGACACAGAGAACAGAATGGGCTGAATAGGATGTCTCCCAGAATGTTCTCAACCTGCTACCTTCAAAACAGGTGAGTCTCCAGTACAGACAGTGGGCAAGCTTGCCTGCCTCATCTTGTTCCTTCTTCATGAGGCCTGCTTTCCCTTGTTTTCATCTTTCCATTTTCTTTTTAATATTATTTCTTTCACTTCTAATCTGTAATGCTTTCCACGGCTCCTTTTCCAATGAGAAACATCTGCTGTATTTCCACAAAGGACCTCTTTCTGGGATAGGCACTAGTGATGCCCAAGAGAATAGCACTTCATTCTGGCACCTGGAGTTCAGTGTATGGCCACTGCTCTAACTGTAAACAGTCACCAGAGCACAGAGCCATTGGTGGTGATGTGGAGCACCTGTGACATCCATTCACAGGGCTGGAGCTAAAGCTCAGGACAAGCGCTCAGCTCCCAGGCACAGCTGGAAAGAGCATCTGGGGGATGGATTTAGGGCTTCTAGATTTCACAAGCACTCGGGTCCTCTGTGTTCCTTTCTCCCATTCAGCAGTTGAGCCCCTTCTGTGAGGTGAACCCTGGCTGGTGCTGGCTATTCCATGACAAGCCCTGAGTAAGGGGTGGGAACAGCCTGGTGTGAACAGCTCTGGGATGTGGCTGAAACTTGGAAAGCATCTGATCCCAGAAGGGGTGTGAGAGAGACACCAGGTGGAGTGGAGGACAGTGAGACTGTAGGGTAATAGTCACAGGACTCCAGCCAGGGACAGTGGTGATTCCCTGCAAATGTAAGCATATTATGTTCATAATTGTGCATAAGGAAGGGCACACGGCTGTGGTATGTACACAGTGGCAGAGCAGGATGACAGTAAGGAGGACTGATTCTTGATGTAGGAGACACTGAAGCAGTTACAGGAAGAAGAGCACTTTGAGGGCCGAGGTGGGTGCTAGAGTCCAGGTAGGGAATGGGAGTGGGAACTGAATAAACTAGGAAAATTCAGGGAGAAACAGGTTAAGGCTGGAATCCCCAGGGTCAGTCACATGTCCTTTAAGTGGGATAGAAAAAGGAAGGGGGAGGGATTGTGGAAACGAAGAAGGAGAGAGAACCAGAGAAGTGGTGGCATATAACACACACACACACACACACACACACACACACACACACACACACACACACACACGAGCGCGCGCCACTCTCAAATAAATAATTAATTTGAAAACTTTTTTTGAGAATTATTTTTCTACTTTCAAATCAGCAATAATGAGAAG